CAAAAGTGCTTTTTTCTTAAATTTTAAAAAGTATTACTCCATTAATGCTCAAGAAACAGAATGTCGTCAAAATGGAAATGATAATAATAGAAAAAAAAAGTTTTGGGGTGAAGGAATTCTAGCAACAGAAAGTGTTTTTCATGAGATGATGGCCAATCATAAGCAATACCAATTGATTTGTTCAGCATTTATCAATGGGTATTGCAAAGAGTCCAAAAGAATGACACATTGAGGCCAACATCTAAATTTCATGTCTCATCTGAGATGATCGAAAACATGTCAACTTAATAAAAAAATAAAAAATGTCAGTTGTTTACAAAATAGAGATTCTCTGTCACATTAAACGAGTGAAAATTAGAATTTTCCCCCCTTCATATTTAGAGCAGAGGGTGGTATTAAATATACCACGGACATACAACCGAACCTCGATTTAACATACTTTGATTTAACGAATTCTCCGATTTAATGAATGTTTTTTCTATCTCGACAAAAAGGGTGCTAAAATGCTCCCATTTAACTGATTTTTAGCTTTGATTTAACGAACAACAGTAGCTGAAAAAATATTCACACATAAAACTAAAACTTTGAATTTTCAGCACTTAAAAGTTTGGATATTTCACATCCTAATCCAAGTGTGTAATTATGTATGTATTATATTTTAAATTTTAAAAGCAAGAAACATAGAAGAATTAAGATCATTTTAAAGTTGATTTCCTAACGTATAACTTATACTTTTTAAGCTATTAGTAAACAATCACTTTTTGTTCATTATCTGTATATCTAAGGATATTTTGCATTGATATTTTTATACCATACACTTTACAAAAATTGATTTTCGATTTAACGAATTGCTTCGATTTCACGAACGGATTTGTCGGTCCCAATCAATTCGTTAAATCGAGGTCCAACTGTATTTTCTAAAAATATTAATAGCTTTATGTAAGAAGAAAAAATCCCGATAATTTGTAAATATTAACGTTAATGCAAATTCTGCAAAAATATGTAAAAAATATCACTCTTCATTAAAGATTAAGGCAAAAAACTTGAACTAATTTTTAATAAATGATAAAAAAAAAACTCGTGAAGCTTAAAAAATAAAATCACAACAATTTTTTATCTTTTTTAAAAGACATGGTCTAAAATATTTCAATCATTGTTTATTTATCAGATGAGGTCTTATGAGTAACGCGATATTAATCGGGTTATGTTAAACTAACGTTTTTTAAAACATGAATAAATAATGTATTTTAGAGCAAAGAGTTTCTTTAGAGAAATAAAGGGCCGTAAAATAAAGTGACTTTGATTTGAGGTAAAAAGGGCGATTTGTTGAGACTCATAGTATTATTTCCGATACCAGAGGCAGTCGAATTTTAGAAATTGAGATGAATCATTATTTAAATACTAAAAAATATGCTGCTAGCTGCAGTGGCGTTCGCTTTCCAATGAGGTGAACAGGGTTCGAATCCAAGCGATGGCTGATCGATACGAATTCCGCATCCGTCTCGCATCGACCATAGTGCTGACGTAAATTATCCTCAGTGGTAGACGGATCATGTGTTAGAGGCTAACCGTGGAAGTTTTTTGTGGTTTTCCTCTTCCATAAAAATGTCCTCCATGAAGGCAAAATTTCTCCCAATATTTGATCCAGGACTTCCCTTGTCTTCTGGATTGGGTTAAAAATTACGAGGTTACGGAGTTGAGCATTGGTAGTTGTAAATGCGAAATTGGGTCGGCTGTTATATAAAAAAAAACTACACGGTAGTTTATTCATTGATAACGCTTTAAAATATTTTAGATCATTCGCAATTTCATTTTGTTTCAGAATATTAGAGTTTTTGTAATTCATTTACGTCGCACTAGAGCTGCACAATGGGCTATTGGCGACGGCCTGGGAAACATCCCTGAGAATGATCCGAAGACATGCCATCACAATTTTGATCCTCTGCAGAGGGGATGGCACCCCCGCTTCGGTAGCCCGACGACCTGCACGCGACGTCGAGCACTTTACGGTAGAACAGTTCAACGAGGACCAATACCGCACATCGTCGGTCCCTACGCAGACTGATCCAAGTGGTCACCCACCCGCACACTGACCGATGCTTGACTTCGGTGATCTGCTGGGAACCGTGTCTTAACGATCAGTCCACTGCGGTACTCAGAATATTAGAACTTGATACGAAAAATGGGAAACCTATTATTTTTATTTCTTAACATATCAAATGCGTAATTGCAGTTTCCAGTCGTTTGGTGCTTAAATTAATGATAAATTTGGTGTAAGTAACTGGAAAATTACATTAAAAAAGATCACCAGATAACTTTGTTTAAGAAAGTTAAAAAAAAAAAATTTACAATTTTGAACGTTAAAATTTTAAGGGTTAAGTTACATGATTTCTTAAAGTAAACTAAAGTCCGGAAAATAAGGAATTTCATATGACTACTTTATGTTAGCAAAATCAAAGAGAAATCTGAGCTTTTAGAAAATAAAAATAGGTATTACGAGGTATAATTTACAACTCAGAAAATTCCGCACAGTAAAAAAATTTCTTGCAGTCTAAAAAAGTGGTAAAATGAAATTAAACCTTTTTTTTAATAACTCTGATAAATTAACATCAAAACTTTAACAGAGCTTAATAGTTACTTCTTTAAAAACTTATTAATAGTTGAATAATACTCAGTTTAAATATTTTGACCAAAGGAATTTTATTTTATAAAATCAAAATTTTCAGTTTCAAAAATAAAAAATTTAGCAAATAATTCATTTTTAAATTAAAGCTGCAAAATATTGTATAACTCATAGTTAATAATATTTCTCATGTTATAAACTGTTTAGTTCAAAATGTCTTAAAAATATCAAAACTTTTTTTGCATATACTATTTTCAAATTATGAGAAATGTATTTAAGGTATCGCCATTTTCCAGACATTTAATTATTGCTCAAAGCTTCCATTTTGACTATTATTTGATATCATTTCTATATAACATGATATCCTTAGCTTGAAATTAATTATTTAGTTACTCAAAAATACTAAAAAAAAAAGTTTATTATAATTTATTTAAAGAAAACTAGTCTTAATGTTTAAGTTTCAAAACTATTTTAAATAAATAAGAATATACATTTGTACAGTTAAATAAGTTTGAAAAAAATTTTATATGCTAAAATATAAAGAAGAAAACATACCTTAAAAAGGACTTCTGAGCGTTTTTTTTTTTTGTACATAAATTTTAACGAAAAAGCTTCAAATATTACTGTATAACAAAATTGACATGAAATAGTCCCGTAGTGGACCAATCGTAAAGACACGGTTCCCAGTAGAACACCGAGTGGACAACCACTTTGATCAGCTTGCGTAGGGATAGAGGGTGCACGGTATTGGTCCTCGTTAAACAGTTCTACAGTAAAATGCTCAACTTCGCGCTTAGGTCGTCGGGCTACCAAAGTAGGGGAACTATCCCCTCTGCAGAGGATAAAAAAAAACTTACGATGTCTTCGTATCATCCTCAGGGATGTTTTCCAGACCAATAGTATCTTGTGCAGCTCTAGTGAGACGTAAACCACCAACAACAACATAAACTTAAAATCGCGAAGTCATGTAGAAAATTCAAAAATGTATAGAGAGTACAATGCAATAAAGAATTTAACATTTGATAATTAGTTGGAGAACTATTTACTGTTAAAATAGTTGAAAATAAATATTCTCTGTTGAAATAAACAGTTGAAAAAAGTTGGTTGTTCTATGGGCGTGGATATGCAGATAGAAAATGAAATTTGAGATATTGAAAAGTCCATTTTCTGTTAATGAATTTAACCTGAGTTTTTTATTTATTTACTTTGAAATCCTATTTTATTCTGAAGTTGTTTTATTATTTGAAGTTTATTTGTGGTTTTTCTCACTTTTTTCTTCTTTTCAATACGTTGCACATTTTTACATTTTTCAATTTTCATTACATTGTATATTTTGTAAACATAATTACTTTGTTTTTAAGTACAGACGTTTAAGATTAAAAATAAATAAATAAGTAAATAAATAAATATGAATGAGAAGCCACTACAGGGATAGGTGAGCACTGTATTCTAGAGTTTATAAATGAACTTAAATAATTTAAGTTTAATTCAAATTATTTCAAAAGGGCAAAATTTTTCTTTGTTAACGATAATTTAAAACAAAATTTCGTATTTTTTAGGGTTGCAAACCGTATCTTTTCCTTACTCAATTTGTTTTTTTAAAATTTGTTAAGTTTAAAACTATATCTCTTCCATTAAACAAAAAAAGTAATAAAAAATATGTTGGAAAATAGTTCTATAATTAACAAAATTAATCAGTGTAAAAAATGTTTTTAATACACTAGGAGATATGATATTTGCTACAAACGATAATATGCAGTTTTCTACACACTTATTTAAAGTTGCAAACTTTTTGGAAATAGAACAAAATGAAGCGAAACAAGCAACTCTAAATTGGAGTTGAAAGCTTTTATTCAAGAATATAAAACAAACCTTTGAAAGCGAAGTATTTTTCAATAACTATTTTGGAATTTGATTTGATCTGCAAACGTTTTGTTGAAAAATTTAAATATAAAACTTAGGATAAAAAATAGGTATGATAAAAATATTTTGTCAATATTTGTTCAAATTTTCAATGAAGCGAAGGTGACTATTACAAGGCTTTGTTAACCGCTAAGGCCAACAACCAGTAAGGAAAATAATATTAAGAAAATTAATCTTAGATTAAGATAATATTATCTGTTTCATTAATTTTTAATTATAAGAGGGGGAAATAAAACTAAAACTTTGAGTCATGGATAAACGCATATTTATCCATACGCATAATAACGCATATTTAATTATTAAAACTTCAAATTTACAACTGAAGTTTAATATATTTTTATTCAATATAGATTCGCAAACAAATATGCATGCTTATGCGTATTTAATAAAACTTAATTTTAAATATAAATATACATACATTTAAACATATTGATAGAAAATATTATTTAAATACCTGCAGCTGGTACTTTATGTGTACTTGCGAATCCTAAGTGTTTGTGCATTCCAAAGATGATGCAGATGAGGATGCAATATCGCGAGGTTTCCATGACAACCAGCTGTCAACAATCTCTCTTCAAGAAACACACACCGTTTAGATCTCTGCTTGCGGACAAGTGATGGAGAGGGAAAAAAAATTCTAAATCGTTTGCTCCAGCGGTTCCCAAGTTCGTGACGTGAATTAGTTGCTAGAACAGACTTGCGCAGAAAGCGATAGTTTTCGCTTTCACTCTTTTCAATTCAAGCGAAAAAGTTATTTATTTATTTTTGTTAAACAAAAAAGCAGACGATGAATCTGATGCCTTTAGTAGCCGGTTTTTTGGATGCGTGACGTCATTATCAATAGCTACAGGGATGAGTATGATCGAACTATTTTATTCTCTGTCAGTTGATCTGCTCATTGTCAAACAATGCGAGCATAAACTTTGTGGTTTGGGCTTCGCGCGCATTCCACACTTATCTGAATCGCATAGTTTTCAGTAACCCCTCTTTTCCTGCTAACTGCAGGACAAATATTCGAAGAAAAGAACATAAAAGTTTCAGAGAAAGAATTTTATATTCAACGTGAATTCTAATTTTCTTTAAGCGTGTTTTGATTTATGGAACAATAAACATTTTTTTCCTGGTTCACAGAGCTGCGAATCATAGAGTGTTTTCATAAAATATGATTTGATCGCACCGAATATATTCAACTTTTGAGTTTAATCCGTTTTTTAATTCTTCAACTTTTTATGAACGGAACCGAGTTTAAACGTATTGGTGCGCACTAGTCACACTGATTTTTTCGAAATCACTCACTAGTGTTATTAAGTTGGCTGAATAAAGGTTAGTGGGATAAGGCACAAATATGTGTTCGTTTTAAATTAAGTACAACAGTCACATTTCAAGAAAAAGCTATGAATATAAAACACACTTACCTGAACTCATAACGCAGTATTCTTAGAATATCACACTTCGATGTAAACCCAAATAGTTTTTTTTTTTATTATTATTTTTTTTTTGAATAATTTATTTCGATATCACACTGAAAAAAATATTTTCGCTTTCTTTTAAAGATTTTATAGCCTAGAATTAGATATAAAAAGCTTTAAAAATCATGCGATGTGCTAAATAAATAAGGGTTTACGTTTTTGTCAAATTCGAAACTCCATTTGAAGCAGTCAACCAATGCTACAATATCTTAAAATTATTGAGAAGGGTAGTTAAATTTTCTCGCTGATATTCAGTCACACGAATATTTAAATTTTTCATAATTATCAGATATACAAGGGGGAAAAAAACTCAACTATGGGCGACATTATTAAAATATATTTTTTCAGACCTGAGTAGTTCTTTAGGTATAGTACCTGCTAGGTAAGACTTTAAGTAGGGTACCATGATCAGAAGGCATGACGTCCCGCAGTGGACTGATCGTTAAGACACGGTTCCCAGCAGATCACCGAAGTCAAGCATCACTGGCTGCGGTCAGTGTGCGGGTGGGTGACCACTTGGATCAGTCTGCGTAGGGACCGAGGGTGTGCGGTATTGGTCCTCGTTAAACTGTGCTACCGTAAAGTGCTCGACTTCGCGCGCAGGTCGTCGGGCTACCGAAGCGGGGGTGCCATCCCCTCCGCAGAGGATCAAAATTGTGATGGCATGTCTTCGGATCATCCTCCGGGATGTTTCCCAGACAGTCGCCAATAGCCCATTGAGCAGCTCTAGTGCGACATTAACAACAACAACATCCGAAGACATGCCATCACGATTTTGATCCTCTGGATAGGGGGTGGCTCCCCACTATAGCAGCCCGACACCTTGCGCGTGCAGTCGAGCACCAAACGGTGGAATAGTAAAACGAGAATTGATACCCTATGTCCCTTCGCAACCTGATACACCCTCGGACCATTCGCAGTCAGTTCAAAGTGGTCACTGATCGCTGTCAGTGATGATTGGTTAAAATGTCTTGCTATCACACTGTGATATTACACTGAGGGACCGTTTAGAATGTGAGTTTAATTCAATATCATTACATAAGAATCTCGGATTTAAAATTATGAAATGTTGTACGTTGTCCACACTGTCCATTTTTTTTTTTTAAATCTGAGAATAAATCGAAAGTTTACACTAAGAATCGCGATTAAGGAAATGAAATCAAATAAATTCAAATGGGATATGCTGGTCTTTAAATAAATAAGTCTTAAAATTAGATTTTATATCGAAGTGTTCAATTTACTTGTCTAGAAAGAATTCAGCTAAACTAATTAACCTAAATTGCTGTTTTCAAGAAATAACTGGTATAAACTTTGAAAATCACAGAAATGTCGCTCATTTTTCTTAAAAAAGGTTGTTTTATTTTGATTTGTTGTTGTTGTTGTTAATTTACGTCGCACTAGAGCTGCACAATGGGCTATTGACGACGGTCTGGGAAACATCCCGGAGGATGATCCGAAGACATGCCATCGCAATTTTGATCCTCTGCGGCGGGGATGGCACCCCGCTTCGGTAGCCCGACGACCTGCGCGAGAAGTCGAGCACTTTACGATAGCACAGTTTAACGAGGACCCGCACAGCACACCCTCGCTCCCTACGCAGACTGATCCAAGTGGTCACCCACTCGCGCACTGACCGCAGCCAGTGATGCTGAACTTCGGTGATCTGCTGGGAACCGTGTCTTAACGATCAGTTCACTGCGGGACTGTTTTATTTTGAATTCGAGAGAAAAATGCTGATGGAATTTCTTGTAAATGCATAAACTTTTCATAATTTGTTCAATTTATTGTTACTGGAAAGAAATGTTTTTTTTTAAATTATTTTTTATTTCATTTCATTTATTTATTTATTTTATTTATTTATTCTTTTAAATGTCGCTATTTCTTGTTTTATCGACATTTTACTTATATGTTTTCATATAAATAACCGAAGCATTTGGATTATTACAACAAAAACAAATTACGGATTTCTGATTGGATAGAAATGTCATTACTGGTTTAAAATTTAATTACTGATTAAAATTGGGCTTAATCTCGGAACATCTATGATCCTGCCCTGGAACCCTAAAGTTCCGCTTTACATCTTTTTGGTACCACTGTTTTAATCGACGCGTCCGATATTTTATAATTTTATAACCGTCGTTGGAGAGCCGACCCAATTTTATGGGTTCACGACTACTCATATTCAACTCCGTAGCCTTGTCATTTTGAACCAAATCCAGAAGACAAGGGAACTCCTGGATCAAAGTATTGGGAGACATTTGCCTTCGTGGAGGACTTTTTGATAGAGCTAGCCCGCATTCGCGTTACATGGAGAGGAAGACCACGAGAACCTCTCACGGTTAGCCTGACGGCGAGGGGTCTCTAACCCATGATCCGTCTACCACTAAGGATATTTCACTTTAGCACTGTGGTCGGTGCAAGCCGGATGCGGAATTCGTTTCGACTGGGATTCGAACCCGGTTCGCCGCACTGGAAGCGTCGCGGCTCAACACGTCCGATATGGATTTTTCCGTTCCTAATCATCATATGAAAAATGACGAATAATAATTTCTTAAACAAAAACTCGTCTGTATTTATTTTTGGAAGGCCCAAAAACCACAATGTAAGAATATTTCAAAAACTAAATTTTATCTTCTTTTGTTCAGACCCTACACAATTATTCCTACCTTTATTTATTTTTCTATTTGCAACTGCAAAAAGCGAAAAGAATTTGTGTTTTCAGACGCAGGCATGAGAATAAAAGAAACTATTTTGTAAATGAATTTTTTTTTTCTGCTCGAGATAATTCAAGACACACTGGACATAACAATGTTTCGTCCAATTCATGTAACAAAGCGTAATAAGTAAAAGTAGCTGAAACTTATGTCCCGTAGCGAATGAAACGATAGATCAATCTGCATTTATATACAAGAAAATTCTGAAATGAAATAAAAATAACTCTCACTGAAAGAAGAGTGTCGGTTATATCTTCAAGAAAGCTTCAAATAACGGCAAAAAAAAAAAAAAAAAAAAAAAAAAAAAAAANAAAAAAAAAAAAAAAAAAAAAAAAAAAAAAAAAAAATGGGATCTTAACTTAGAAATATGTAGCTCAGAATGATGCATTTTTAGTATTATGATGCATTTGATATGAAAAAAATGATACATTCTTAGTATTATTTGGTATATTGTAAGATACATTTTTATAGTATATCTCTCAATATTTTGATTATGAAACAAAATCCGCTAGTATCAATAGAATATTTACATGCTTTCTAAAAGGTTACTAGAATTTAATTTCTTATTTTTCTTTTTCATTGCGTTAAATAAAATCATAGAAAAAAAAACACTTCGTCTTAGAAGGTCCACTTCTATTATATTTTTGGTAATCACTTAATAAAAGAATAAAAACAGTAAAAGAAAATCTCAAAATATTATTTTTTAAATAATAAAATCGTTGCCCAATATACTAGCTACTGTCAGTAAGCGGGTGGGGGACCACTTTTATCAGCCTGCGTAGGGACCGAGGGTGCGCTGTATCGGTCCTCGTTAAACTGTTCTGCCGTAAGGTGCTCGACTTCGCGCTGGCTACCAAAGCAGGGGAGTCATTCCCTCTGCAGAGGATCGAAAATGGAATGGCATATCTTCGGATCATTCTCAGGAATGNTATACATTTCATATGAAAAAAATGATACATTCTTAGTATTATTTAGTATATTGTAAGATACATTTTTATAGTATATCTCTCAATATTTTGATTATGAAACAAAATCCGCTAGTATCAATAGAATATTTACATGCTTTCTAAAAGATTACTAGAATTTAATTTCTTATTTTTCTTTTTCATTGCGTTAAATAAAATCAAAGAAAAAAAAACACTTCCTCTTAGAAGGTCCACTTCCATTATATTTTCGGTAATCACTTAATAAAAGAATAAAAACAGTAAAAGAAAATCTCTAAATATTATTTTTTAAATAATAAAATTGTTGCCCAATATACTAGCTAATGTCAGTAAACGGATGGGGGACCATTTTTATCAGCCTGCGTAGGGACCGAGGGTGCGCTGTATCGGTTCTCGTTAAACTGTTCTGCCGTAAGGTGCTCGACTTCGCGCGGGATACCAAAGCAAGGGAGCCATCCCCTCTGCAGAGGATCGAAAATGGAATGGCATATCTTCGGATCATTCTCAGGAATGTTTACTAGACCGTCGCCAATAGCCCATTGTGCAGCTCTAGTGTGACGTGAATAAAGTACCTACCTAATAATATATTGGGACTTATATTATCGATTGCATCAACATAAAAGCAGCGTAACAGACCATTGCA